TTTCAAAGGTTGATTAAGGGGTATGAACTCACCTGTAGTGAGTGGTTTGGATGGAAGTGCTGGGTAGGATGCTAAGTGTCAAGTGACAACTTGAGCACACACGGATCCTATTTAACATATAAGGACACATATATGTATCTAATTAGTGATTAAACAACTAATCAAACAAGTAAAGACACCTTAGGACAAGGAAAACACTTTGATTCAAGTGCTAGAAGTACAAAGGGGTTGCATCTAAGGGCTGTAGGGCCTCACATTGGAGTTTACGGCCCAAGTGTAAACCCCCATGAGTTTACGGCCCATGGGTTTACGGCCCAATGAGTTTACGGCCGTAAACTCATGGTATCTTGTACCATTTTGTGTGTTTAAGGTTCTATAATCATCTTGGAAATGTTCTAGGCTTTGTTTCAAGGCTTAGGAAGGTGTTGTGGCAACTTTGCACCACTTAAATAGAGTTTACGGCCAAGGGAGATTGCCTTGGCCATAAACACCCTCTTGTTCAAGATTTCTTGGTGTTTTCCAGTTGTTTAACAAGTGATTCTAGTATTTAACTAGCTAAGGATAGTGTACTTACGTTTTGAAGGCAAATGGGGGTGTTTTCGGCCCAAAACACTTTAGTGTTCTTGGTGTTCTTGAGGATCTTGAAGATCTAGACTCAAAAGATGAGATTTGTGGATGAATTCAAGAGTGAATGAAGAAGAAGAGATGTATTAACACATAGATGGAAGGATTTACTTACATTTTTGAAGATTGGGAGCAAAAGTCTCGAGATCCTTGGGAGAGAATTCCGAATTTTTGGGCTTGGAATGGTGAAAATGAAGAAAAATGACCAAGGGCCATATATATACCATGGTGTTTACGGCCACCATGTGTTTACGGCCGTAAACCCAATGGTATTGGCCGTAAACACCTCTTTTGAGGGTTTATGGCTTGCTTGATAGGTTACAACTTTAGTTGACACTTCCATTCACTTATTCCTTAGATGTACTAAGTTCAGAATGTTCAAACAGACTCTAAACAGTGCCAAAAGTTAGCAGAAATAAGTCTAACTTTGATTGGATTGAATGGTTTGTACAAGATTGAAATTTCGGGTTGTCACAATTTCTTTTGGTAAAGGTAGTCTTCGATTTTCATTTTCCAGAATCCAAAATCATAACCATCAAATTTATCGATCTTAACTCTCTCATCTTTAGCCATAGCTCTGATATTAGTTTGTTGTAAAAACAACAAAACAAGTTAAACATTTCAGAAAAATGATAAAAGAAATTCGATGAAACTTGCGAAATAAAATTTCTGAAAAACTAAAATTAAAACTAAACATAGTATTTAACGTTGTTCAGTCAAAGTGACCTATGTCCATGAGAAAACGCACAAGCACACATGCATGAGAGAGAGAGAGAGAGAGAGAGAGAATTTTATTGAACTTTCAAGAACTATTACAATCACTCATTGTTACACCTCACTTGAGCTCAAAACATAAGAATTACTCTTTCTTACAAACTACTCCTAAGGGTGTACTCTCACAATGATTGTTATCTTGGAATGCTCTATCAAAATTCTTGATGTTTATATATGATTCCAAATACCCAAACACATTTGATCAAGTCTTCACACCCAATGGCGGAGTGCATCACAAGTGGGGTGTATGGCCCCACTTAAAAATAGATCCCATGGGAAATTTTAGGAAAAAAAAAAGTTTTTGTTATGTAATTGAACAATTGGCCCCACTTAAGTTTTTTTGGCATGCATTTTTGCTGAAAAAAACCAAGAAAAAACTAAAAAAAGATCATATTCTTTTATTAATTTTTATTATATTTTTTCTTTATATATTTTGGCTCCTTTTGGTTTTGGTTTTGGTTTTGATCTGGATCCGTCACTGTTCACACCCTAACAGTTTTTCAGTAGGTTCTCGTTAGTTTGTGATTTAATAAAAATTTTATGTTGTTAATTAGAGAAACAATCTTTTCGGTTATTAATATTGAAGGGGTAAATGGTTTGGCATATAATTTCTGAACAACTACGACCTTTCATGAAGCATTGCAATTACCAGAATTTGAGTGATATAAGTATGTGTCTTGTCTTTATTATTTGATTCACACCTTTCTAACTACAAGAAATTTTGGTCTTTACTTACACATATTATGTGTGGGTAAAAGCATCATATGTGATGGTATTCATTATTACCTACACATACATTAAGTGTAACTATGTGTAGGCTCATGCCTGTTGATACAGATCATTACCGACACATAATTTATGTGTAGATATAAGATTATCTATACCTACACATATATGTGTGGCTAAAAGTAGTAAATATGTGTAGGTAGATGCATTCTGATTTGTTTGGGATGTCGATGACGTGGTTGACGCGTGGACACTGACGTGGCTAATGATGTGGTTGTTGACGTGGTCAATGATGTGGATACACATGTCATTAAAATATGTGTGGGTAAGAGTATTTTTATGTGTAGGCATTGGTTTTGATATGTGTTGG